TCAGCCCCACGCAGGGACCAGCAGGGACGGAGCAGGAGCATCTTCCAGAGTACGAAGGTTATAAACCATCCCGGTTGTGAGCCACCCCAGCCGTTCCCCAGCCTCCAGCTTTAAGGGGGACGGGGGAATTAATCAGGCTGTCCTTGGGGGCGCTGCCTCGGGGAGCAGAGCTCTCCTCCTCTTGAGTGCTCAGCTGGGACCACCTGGAGGGATTCATTACCTATCATCGCTAATTGGCAATGACTGCAGTGACATCATCACCTGTCTGCGGGCAGGAGGAGGGCACCGGGCTGGGGCCACCAGCGGTGCTGGCGAGCAGGCAGAGGGGCTCCGCTACAAGGACAGCCCCCAGCACCCGCAGCGGGCACAGGGCACCATCTCCTTTGCGGGCGCCAGAGAAAGTCCCTCAAAACTTAAGCACAAAAAGAGACGCCGGAGCTGTGGGTCCCCTCCCCTTCCCTCAGCGGTTTTTCTCCCCTCGCCCTTTCCAACACCGGGCAACACCAGCACACGCGTACCCACGCGGAGGCGCAGCAGAGTCCCGCAATGGGCTCCTGGGTTTCACCTTCGCTGCAAAGGATGCTTCCGCAAATAAAACATGTTTTTGCAACGCTCAGGGCGCTTCTCGGCTCTCCCGGGGAGCCAGGGCAGCGCGAAAGCAAGACTGCGAAGGAGGAGAAAGCAGAACAGCAGGCTGGAGGCAGTGGCGAGCAGGGGATGGTATTTGCACCCCAGGTGGGTTGCTCCTTAACGGGGTCGGCGGGTCTGATGCAGGGGGGGCTTCGCTGGAAGCCCACCCCGCAGAGCACGCAGGCAGGGGGATGGCAAACAGCTCCCACCGCATTGCCTGGCTACGGCACAGCTCTGCCGGAGGCGGCTGGCGCTCGCCCGGCTGCGGGGCTGCTGCGGATGAGCATCACCCACCCAACGCTGCTCTCCCCGGGGACGCCCAGCAAAGCGCCCACGGGACGCCACAGCAATCCCCAGTTCAGCGCATGGGGGCTCAGACCCACGGCCCCACGTAGCCCAGGCTGATCCCCACGGAAGGGCTGAACGCAGATCTCCTGACTCAGCCCCTCCAGGGAAAGTGAGCAGCTCGCTAAATCCCCACCAGATGAATGATGCATCATCAAATAAAGCCCAGTATCACAACATTAACAATATTTATTTTCAGGCTAAGCTGCAGCCTGGGCTTTTGATACCAGTAATTAAAGCAAATGGTTCATCTGTTATCATCTTTGCATCCCTGGAGCCAACCGTCCGTGCTTTGAAGCCCTGTATTATCTTTTTTTATTGCAGCCTCCCAGGAAGGGGAGGATCAGGCTGATCCACACACACTTTTTAGATCCCGGGAGCGGCGTAGCACGGACCAAGCCCAAAGCAGAGCCGCGTTCGGGCAGCCGCCCTGCCCAGAGCTTTTTAGCAATGAAACGAAGAAGCGTTAACGGCTCAAAGACAAATCACTGCTCCAGTTTATACCGGAGATTAGAATTAATAGAAAGGCATCAGCAAGGAAGATAATGAGGTGCCCTCTCTGAAATAACCCGTCCCTGGGAACGGCAGCATTAGCAGCCTCAGCCTGTTTTCCGAGGCTTTGCTTCCAGCAGGCTTTTAACAACACTTTTGCCTGTCCTGGGAGAGGAGCAGAGGAGACACCTGCTAAAGCCCTTGAGCCAGCGCCGAGCTGGGCAGCGATGCCCTTTCCGAGCCCTAACGGGGAGCAGGAAACCCAAAGCACCTTCGCAGCTCTCTCTCCGCTCCGGGGCCAGGAGGGTCTCTGCATCCCACCGCTGCCAGGCGCCCAGGGACGGGGGGACTCAGCTCCCACTGCCATCGCGGCTCTCGCCGTTCGCGCTCGGGGAAACCGGAGACAAGACACAGTTTTAGGGCCATCAAACCCCCAAATGCCCAACACGCCCCAAAGTTGCCCGCGCACCTCAAAGTCCAAAAGCGACGACCGGAGCGACCCTCCACCTGCAGCAACGCGCCGAAGGGGCGATGCCAGCCCCGTAAGCCAGTGGGGTGCCGGCTCCGGCCACCGCCACCCCCCCCCCCCCGGCGA